TAATATTTTAAATGTTTCCAATCATCTCAAAAATCGTAAAAAGAGAAAAGTATCTACTTTATTAAAGACCTCTAAAGGAAAAAGATCTAAAAGTGTAAAATCAACAACAGTAGTAGCCCTGAGATCAAGTTTTGTATGGGATTTTTTTATAACTGAATCTGATACAGAATTAGATGTTATTTATGCAATTTGTCAAGTAAAAGATTGCACACGCAAATATGTTCATCATGGTTCTACATCAGATTATAGAAAACATCTTCGTGACAGTCATGACATTACTGAAGCTTCAATTGCTAGTAAAACTTCTGAACAAATTAATGCTTTAAAACAACCATCAAAACAATTATCTATTACTGAAATATTTAAAAAACCTCTTAATCCTAAACAACAGAAATTATTAAATCAAGAAATAGTAAAATTTATAATTGGAACAAGACAACCATTATCTATTGTTGAAAATGCAGACTTTAGATCCTTTTGTACTGCACTTAATTCTCAATTATCTATTCCTTGCATTAATACAATTAAAGATTTAATAGATAGTTCATATAATCATATGAAAAATCAACTTAAAGATATGACTATTAAATCTATTCAATATATTCATTTGACTTTTGACTTATGGTCATCAAAAGCGCATGATTCATATTTAGGCATTACTGCCCATTGGATTGACAAAGATTTTGAGATTTACAGTTTAGTTTTAGATATTGGAGAAATACAATATCCACATACTGCTGTTGAAATTTCTCATCATGTATCAAAAGTTTTTAATGATTGGAATTTGGAAGAAAAAGTTTTAATAATTGTTACTGATAATGGAAGTAATGTTAAATCAGCTGTATCAAGATTAGGCAAAGATTGGATTCCGTGCGTAGCACATACTTTACAATTATCAATTAATAAAGGATTAAAAATAGTTGATCCTTTAATAACAAAAATAAAAAGTCTTATTTTTTTTTTGGGAAGTGATAAAAAAAGACAACAATTAAGACATGCACAAATTATTTGTAATAAGATTGAAGAAAGTGAAACAATTGAAATTATCAAACCAATTGATATAAGGTGGAGTTCTTTTTATAATGCTTTAGTTTGACTTTATGAATTAAAAAATTCAATTAAATGGTTAGCTAATTCTTTAGAAAATAGTTAATCACGTGTTGACAATCATGATTTTAATATAATGGATCAGTTTTTACCCTCTTCAATGAAATGGCAAATTATTCAGGGATTGGCAAATTTGTTAGCTCCTGCTGAACAAGCAACAAAATTATTAGGAGGTGAAAATTATATAACTTTAGCTATTACTATACCAATAATTAAAGAAATTATATAACATTTTAGAAATATAAAATCATCAAATATGATAATTAACAATATGAGAAATGTAATATTAAATGATCTAATTTCAAGATGGAGTATTTCTAATAATTTTGGAACTATTGCTTTATTTTTGAATCCTCACTTTAAAAAATTAACATTTTGTTCATCAGTAAGTAAAGCTCCCCATGAGCCTTAAGGGCTCGTGAGCCTATCGAGCCCAGCCAAGCCAAGTCTAATATTATAGGCTCGTGGCTTGCGAACCCTGAGCTCGTGAGCTCGAGCCTGACTAAGGTTCTACTTGACTGGGCTTGACCGGGTTCGCTAGGCTCTCGAGCCTAATATATGGCTTGCGAGCCCAATATAAAGGCTCACGAGCCTAATATAATTAAATCGTCCAATAATATTATTAGATGATTTAATTGTCTA